TGTTTACACGAATGTAACAACTGACATTTCAACATAGGAAATAGCGCCCTCTTTTGCCAGGACTTTTCCCTCTTTTTTTTAATGGAAATCGGAACATTTTGATTTTTAGGCCTATGAAAATCTGACAATTGGAACAGTACTACTGACATCGCAATAGTTGGGGAGGTATGCTACACCAAGCACTGTGTATGGACCCTGCCCTGTTCATTATAGCAGCATTGTACTGTATACCAATATACACCACTCAAATATTTAAAGGATCAGACATTTGTCTTTGAAAATTTTAGCCAGGTGTGTACCCCACTGACTTCACTTATTGTACACTGAAGCCCATGTTCATGCTTGGTTGAGCACCGTAGAGTGTGAGACAATGCAATTGGTTAGTCGTGCTTCAGAATCAAGTTAGCTAAAAGGGTCAAAAGCATTGGGTGATGTGTATTGCTTGAGTATTGCACAACTTCAAAATGGCTACCTTTTACTCTCTTTGCGCATAAATTAAGGATGGGATGACTCTGAGGCAAGGGGATGAGAGACTGGGAGTGTCTTAGAGAGTTGGGGGGTACAATGACATGAATGAGACTGGTTTACAACCCTATTATGGTAAAATGATGTACACGTATGTGTCTCACCTCAGGACATTTTGAGAAAAAGTGACTGAAATTTTGGACCTCTTAGCATTTTGTGTTTAGGTTTTGGAAAACTGTGAAGCCTCTTTTTTTTCAATGTTGTGACAACCGTAAGTTTGATTTTTTGAATCAATCATTATTTTTATAGATAACCATGAAAATATGTTTTGGGGAAGATTTGCCAACAGATACATGTCAGACATTGTACTAGTTTACTGAATAAAAGGGTCTCAACAGTTACATGTAATTTTTTCATGCTGAGATATGTACATCTTCAAAGTGCTTCATTTCTGTGATTCACAATCACAAAAAGTTCCCTCACATTACCGGAATATACTCACGATCAGTGCCCTCACATTACTGTGATATCATTCTAACTTATATATAGCGCCCTCACATTACATGGTTAAAACTCAATTTTTTATACATCATTTTCAGGGCTGTAAAGGACCTGATGGACAAGGTGCTGACCAAAGTTTTTTTTTCAGTGTCGTGAGACTTCAGTACTCTGCAGTGGAAGTTTCTTGTTTTGATGCCAGAAAACAGCCAAATTAAATGACGGTAATTTTCGGCAATGTGAATGCCATTTGTTTAAATTATTAATCACTACGTATGATCCTTTGAACCTTTGAGTAGTGTACAAACGCAGATAGACTCGCTCCATCACTAAGGTGGAAGCAAGGAACTGCATCTCTGAGAAGATTGAGTCCTTTCCTTGCCTTTTTGTGAATCAGTGCCTAAGATTCTGATGAGGACTCCTCAAGCAATCTTGGAAACTGTTCCTCCTCAGTGATGGAGGCGAGGACTGGCATCTATCTGAGTTACTTCCTCTCTCAGACATTCTCATGAATCATCTCTGTGAAGTCCCATAGGATCTTGTCCTCCATCTTGCTTCTCTCCAGGTTGAAGGAGGCGAGGGCGCTCTTCTCATCAGCATCAGGGTCTGCTTCTCCTGGGGCATACCCACAGGTTTCATGGTGGTCTGGGAAAGAAATTAACACAAGAGGTATTAAGTTGCAGTAGAAATTGAGACATTTCTTCAAAAATTATAGGATCTTCGTACGCTTTTTGTTTTTACACCTTTTATTTCATAAAAAAAACTGTTAGTGTCTATTGCTTTTTATTCATTTTCATGCCAGAAAATGGACAAGAAGATTCCTCTGACACTGCTGACCCATTACTTCTGAAAGGATTTGTGATATGTACTCTTTTGTTAAAGAAATTTTTCAGACACCCCTTTAGGGTATAGTGAATCAAAAACTGACATTTTTAAACATTCTAAATTGTCTTTCCCTTTTTCTAACTAGGGAGGGCGCTGTTTCACAGTAATACTGTAATGTCAGTCAGGGCAGACCACAAACCTTAAATATCAATGGACCAACAGCTCCTACAGAAATGAACGACTGATCCCAAAAGTGTGGGCAGAAATATTTCAACAGTGTGCACAAGTCTGTTGAGTTGGATACAAATCGGAAATTTGGGATGGTGACTGAAAATACTGTTAAGGTTTACAGTGGGTCCCTTTTTATGTTTTGGCTCAATATTTGTCAAAATTAAGGTAATTAATTTTTAAATAAGAGCTCTGAACACTTAAATTTTTGTCCATATTCATTGCTTACCTTCAAAAAGCCTGAACAAATCCCATAATGTATGTGATTTTAATTTCTAATTTCGACTCTATTTTTGAAATGTTTTGGAAACAGAGTTCTCGGAGCTCTATCCATAAAACTTGAGAAAAAATGTTTGATTTGCTTTTCCAAATATCCACTTGACAACAGGGATGTCAGGAATTTATCTGAATTTCACATAATGTGCACCATGGCTTCTACTAATGACTTGTAATAATGGGCAATATTATGAGGAAGAAAAATTGAACTGTGCCAGGTTGGAACTTTAATAAAAAGACCAACAGGGCCAAATAATATTCGATGGACAATTGCCACAGTTACCCCCAATCCATCTTCTTTGATGTAGAGCAGTGCTGCAGAGCAAATCATGAAACCCGAGGGGACAAGGCAGTCATTTGCTCATGGTTATGAAAATGGAGACATTTCTTAAATTAGGCTACATTTCTACTTTCCAAAAGAAGGGAAATTAAACAGACCAAAAAGATCCTTTCATTTTGTCAAATGAAAACACTTTTTGTTCCTTGAGTGGTCATGACCCCAATCCCCCCCCCTTTCCAAGATTCATCCTTGCAGAAAGCCAGTAATGATATGAAACACAGGACTCTTACCTGTGCTACTTATGACGTAACCTGCCTCCTCACTTTGGAGATTTCATCAGTCAGTCCACTCGCACCATGACGCTAGCCAGCCTCAGCATTCATTTAGGTAGCCATGGCAGTGTATTCACTGGTCGATGAGGCCTTCCCAAATCTAAACATGGGGGAAAATGACACAACAAAAAACAAGAAAAAGTCACCTAAGTATGCTAAATATGTGCTAACCTTGAGCACTGTTTCATGGCGGTGCTCGGGGTGGTTGTGCTAACGGTTGTGTGTGGATAGAGATTTGTGTTGTTACATCACTAAATTTAAGCAAATCTTTCCTCCAAGGTTAGGATGCCTTTGGCTGTACTTACTGTTCACGGTATGCATGAAAAATGCGGAGCCTCTGTAAGCGTGAAATCGTGCGCTAAGCACCACCGAGAATTGGGCCCTGATTAATACCAGAAAGGTTCCTACAAAGTTTTCCATGACTTTCCGGGACAACTTTTTCCCAGGATTTTCAATGCCTGTGGGAACCCTGTACAAGGACAAATGGGTTAAAAGTACTGTACAGTCTATCATTTGCAGTTATCCAAAAGGTATCCAAAATTGTTGTTGAAAAGAAAGAACTGTGGGCTATTCCTACCGGATGTTCTAAGGTCACTAATCTGTGTGACTTGCGGCCATGTTTGTTTACATGGGGTTGCAATGCTATCTGTTTTTTAATCCAACGTTTGAGGTATCACGACCGGTGACACAAATTCAACTTTTTAAATCAAATTTTCACGTGAGAGCAACCTTAAGGTACATGTACCTACATGATGTAGAGCTCTTGAAATTGTGTAGTGAACGCTGGTTTTTAGACTTTAAGACCAATCTGATTTTGAAAAATTGGAGGGTTTACTCGTGTATCTACCGTTTTTTTCCCAACAATCGCATTCACACGCTCAGTGCACATGCATGGGCCAATGGCCAATTTAACAAGGTCAGTTTGTCCATATATCGAGGAGGGGCTCAACAACGGCCAAAAATAACAGACAAATAATAACTGTGATTGATAGGTATCTCGCTAATTTTTTTTTTTTTTTGCTTTTAGAAAAGATTCTGCCGAGATCCGTAAGAACTTCAAATTTTGAAATTTGAACTTCTTTGTTTTAAAAATATTACTACGTCCAAGGCCAGTGCAATTCTTTAACTCCTTTATTTGTCGAAGTCTTCCTTGCATAGCATCAACGGAATCTGATACCACAAACAAATGTTGCCATGAAACGTGGAACATAAAAAAAGGTTAGCGTGTACACGTATTTGCAGTCATTCTGAATGTCTCTCCTGGAATGGAGGCGCGAGACAGTTGTCTGCTTCCCAGGAGTAAGCTTTTGAAAGTCGGGCTGCCTTTTCAGAGAGCAACAACAAACCAAACGACAGCTGTGACTATCCACTGACACCTTTCATGATTTTTGCTACAGTCTTAAAGAGCAGCTGCAATGAATTTTTCTTAGACGCACTTTTTTTCTTCGATTTTGTATTGTTCAATGTATGACAGCTCTTTTACTTTCCTATCTGGTTAAATGCATTGAAAAGTGTGCTCTTAAACGATTAAAATTATCCATGCTTTTACCAGACAACTGAGGGCGCTGTTGCTGTGAAGTTATCTAGGGAAGGCATGTTTCAGTGCATTGGCGTTTCTGTTCAGAATTTACTCACTGGAAACATTTCTCAGAGAGGGACAGTGCTTTCTTCCTGCTTTGCAATGTAACAACGATGACTTTTTTTGGAGTACAAACCGATGTAACATTCAGGCTTTTTCCTGAGATGTCAGCATAGTTTTTCTCATGAATATGGAAATACTCATTAGCATAAAACCAAAAAGGTGGTAAAACAACCTTTGAAACAGTGAAACAAAAGTTGAAAATAAGATTAAATGAGACACAAAAATGCCTTTTGGAGGTTTGTATGAAAAAAAAATTGATTGCAGCCACCCTTCAACGTTTTGTACATACACATTCAAGTGGGCATAATGTTCAGTCAAATGGTCGCAACAAACTTAATACTGGCATTTCACTAGAGCACACCTCCAAGAGTTTGCAATGCATTGACCAATCACAGAGCATGAGATCTGTCGACCCAATGCACATTTGGAAAGGGTCGACAGATTCCGTGCACTGTGATTGGTCAACGCACAGCAAACTCATGGAGTTGCACTATTGTGAATCACCTATATTGAAATGCATGCATGTATTCATGCCCAATGTGCCAGAACCCTTGAGACAACAACTGATATTGTTTCAGAGTTGTGGGCACCAGTGACTAGATTACTGCAAGGCCAAACATGGTGTCCACACTCACCACAACTCGGTCCAAATTTTTCTTGCGATAAAAGATTACCAGTGAAAATTTGTTCCACTCACTACATTTGATCTTAGTTTCATCTAGGACAGTCAAATTCTCAATGGGTCGCTCAAGTTAATTCAAATTCCATTCAATTAAGGAAAACATGTTTCCTACCTTTCAAATACAGTACAAACCTTCTTCCTTTCTGTAGCAAATGTGAAATATGCTTCATTGCTTTTCCCCCTCTAAACGCAGCAGATTAAAAAAAACAACTGAGATTCTTGTACAATTTACCAAAAAAGTTCCATTTTCAAAGACACTGATATGCATTTACAAGACGACCTCTGGCGAGCTGTGAAATGTTATAATTTTGTTTGCATACCGGTGGCAGTTCTTCAACATAAATCTGACATGTACTTTACATCGACTCCCAGAGAGATTCCTCTTTTCCATTCATCAAGTGTTTTGCTCCTTTGGATGGGTTCCATCATTTTCAAATAATACAATCATACAGAAACCAAACAGACATAAACAAAAACCTTCATGCTTATAACCCTATTACTGTGTAATATCTAATCACAATTCTGATTTGTGCAAGTTGAAGTCTAATGTATGGCTCAACAACTTATCAAGATCTTTTACCAGTGTACACACACAATTGGGGATTTGCACGGCTGCCATCTTGCAGACCTAGTGCTGTTGTTCCACAGCGTATGCACCAAGGAGGTTCCCTGTGGAACAAATGAACTACCCTGCAAGACGGCTGCCAAGCAAAGCCTTTAAACAGCCCCTGTAAAATGACTCTAGCAGAGGAACTATTGCTGAAATCGTGTATTCCTCCGTTGGTCATTTGCCCACAGCTGTACGTATTTCTTACTGATCGTGCAGTTGGTATCAATTTGTAAAATTACTTTTATATCAAAGTTTCCCTCTGAAGTTGGGAGGAGTCCAGAACTAGGTTCTAATCTCCCATGTGGCCGTTGCTGAGGCCATCAAAAGCAGAGGTGGTCCCTCCCCCAAAAAGTGGTTTTTTTGTTGTACTGACCGTCTGAATTTGACAGATACTAAAATTGAAACACTAGCCTACTTTTGGCTGCCACTTTTATAAGGGCCACTTTTGGCATTCAAGAGAAGATGTCAGGCCAAGTTGTCGCCCAATCATGGCGTGGATGGCTTTGACCACTCAGCTGCCATGCATTTGGAGGATCAAATTGGAGAAGATGGCCTGTAGTGACCACCTTACAAGCGTAAACCATGACACTATATCAATATGGCTTGTTTGCCCAAGCATGATATAATATAAAAGGACTTGTGGTGAAATTGTGACCAACAAAATGCTGGTAATATAAACTACGAAAGTCTTTAGACGCACGTTTCCTTGGTCAAACAAACAGGGCGATTTGGTTTCTTAACCAGTCAAACATACTTCCAAATTGAGAGCAAGTTAATTTGACATCCTTTTTATTATTGTGAGGGTCTGGCGGCCACTTTGGAGTCAAACTACACATTAAGAGCATTAAATACCAATATAAAGTTTCCATTTATAACGCGAACATCTTACAATTTAGTAGCCACATCTTAAGCCACTTTTATCACATCAACCTCTATGTCTTATTGAAGCAGCATGTGTAAGTGAGCATTGATTTTGATTTCAAGAACTTTTTGGTGGTCATATTTGATGGCCACTTTTGGTGGCCATATTTTGCTGGCCACTTTTGGCAGCCACATTTCTTGGCGGCCATCTTGAAGCACCAGCCACAGGACACACTAGTAGACGGGCCCCTTTCAAACCAGCGTGAATCCCTCTGTATTCTCAATAGCCATCAGAAGTTTGTCTCGCAGCCTGGCCTTGTCCGTGTAAACCGGCAAGTCCAGGAGGTTGAAGCAGGTGTGGGCCACGGGGAAGAAGTCTTCGCCTCCCTTGACCGGCTGGATGATGATGTGGAGCGTCTTCATGCCCTGGATGGGGACGCGATCAGTCCCCGTCAGAAACACTGCGGCAAACACACAGAGGGACCGTAACCAAATAAATCTGGCACTTGCTACACCAACACAGCTAATGGATTCACAGTACCTATTTGGAGAATGGACGACTTTTAATTAGCCTATCTGCGCAGCTATAACTTTCCACAAAAATGACCGAAACTTCTCCTTTCAAATGTACAAATACTCACCAAGGAATTTCTTCTTCTGTTGGAGGCTCATCTCCCGGAAGACATCCCAGAACATCCTCATCGTCGGATGCTGTCTGTAGTACTCGCCTTTGTAACTGACATTCTGTTAACAAAACAACAACAGAATCTAAAGTTCTCTTACTTGCCACAGGTTTCACCAAGCTTTGATCACTTTGCATTGGTGAGTAGTTTGCAGCTCAACGATCACCGACACTGCCCACCGACCTTCTCAAACTCGTCCCAGTCATAATGCTCGTCCCCGATGACCATATCCATCAGCTCCTGGGGGTGGAACAGGTTGAAGACGCGCCCACCGATGACGTGCAAGAACCCCTCACTGAAGAACCTGTACTGTTGCTCCACGGAAGTGTTCAGGACAAAGTCCACATAGCTGTCCACGTAATCTTGCCTGCCTCGGTGATGGTGTTCAACATATTTGGAAACAATCAAAGAAACTTGATGACAGAGCAGAATTGTCTTTCAGATCCCGAATTTCCAAATGCAGCAGATCAACTACCCTACTAACACAGTGACGAAGCTGTGAAACGCGCCCTAAAAAGAGACCATTTCATAAGGTCTTGCTCCCAATCACTATGTGGAAAACAAGTTAAGCAAAACATTCAATTCATAATCCGAGATTAAATTATGCACACAAGCTCATCACAGACTAAAGTCTGTCTTTCCTGATCATTACAAAACTGAGAAAGATGACTAGCATATTCCCTTTTAAGATCCTGGATCTCCCAAAATGAGTCTTAACGCCATGTTCTTGATAATTCTAAATTGAAAAAAAAAAGAGAAAACTGGGTTCCCTGTTTTGATCTATCACCCATTATGACATCCTGACAAATAAAAACATTCAAGGGTAAACTGTTGAACGGGTCAATTGATTTTTGCACGGTGCAAGATCCTATATATGTATCCAGTTTGTAAGTGACTTTGTCACAAAGGCAGACGCTCCACGATTGCAGGTTCTAATAGGACGATCGCTGAAGTTGCACGTTAACTTCCGAATCCACGGTTCCGTGTAAACGCGATCAATGCATGTAACTCTGTGTGCAGTGCATGTGCAGTGGGCGTAGTTTAAACTGAAGTGACGTCACACTGACGAACCAGACAAGGTCTATCACCTGTTCTCCATGGTGACGCTCAAATCAGCCCCGCCCGGTTTCAACTCCACCGTCTCCACCTCCCCGAAGCTCTCCACTGTGACCGCAAACGTCAGGTAGAGTTCCAGGACGTCCTGGGGCTCCTCTATGTCCAGCAGATGCTGGAGGTTGGAGGCAAACTCTGGGTCCAGCTGCTTGAAATCTTCTAAGGACTTGGCTGGTCTGTAAAATTGGGGGGGGGGAACCTAAACAGTTACTAAACAAACCATAACAAGCGGATCAAAAAGGAACCAATCATGGGGCGGTGTGCCTCCCTTGTTATCCCTAATGTTTATCCAACTCGCAGTTGACGTCAATGATATGCCTCTTGTTAGTATTACACGTCTAACTTGAATACTGTATGTCATCAGTTGCTCATGAATATGTAAGTCTCATTAGCATAAAACCAAAAAGGTAGCAAGATCCTCTACATGTATCCGGTTCGTAAGTGACTTCGTCACAAAGGCAGACGCTCCACGATTGCAACAGTGAAACACAAATTGAAAATGTGGTTACCTGAGAAAAAAAGGGGCATTTTGGAAGTTTATACTGGAACAAGTCCATTGCAGCTACCCTTTTAACCGAGTCACTAAATGTCGACCTTACCCACGATGCAGTGCATGCTACCATTGATTTGAGATTTCTAACACCTCTTAATGCAAATCTCTGCCCCTGCGTCTTGCTCCATGAGACCTCACACGCTCACCTGTTGAGGAGCTTCTTGTAGAGGGCCAGTGGGAAAGGCAACGAGATGATGGTCAGATTGTAGATGGCCAGGCCGACGATGATTCCGACCAGACGGAACATCTCGCTGTCTTCAAAGGACTGGACATCAGAACGTGAAAGGGTCAGAAAAAAAGGCTAGCTAAGGGGGCAGGGGAGGGGCTGACTTGTCTTACATTAGTTCCATTGCCGCCTTGTTTCCCTCTTTTTTTGTCACTATTGGGCCTTTCTGGCAAAACTTGAGGGGGCAATCCTTGTTTAGAGGATGCTCTACAGTGCCCCTGCGAAGACCCTATAAGTTTGCTCATCTGATGAGAATCAGTAATACATGATATGCATGTATACACGGAACGTCCCCCTTTCAGGCCATTTTTAGTAAGCGACAAAGCGCCCTCTATCGTTCATGCACACACTCACTCATACAAAGTGTGATTAATGTTGTTTCCCTCTTCTAGATAACTGTTTCACTTTGGTTCATTTTGGCTCACTTTGGTTCACTTTGGTTCCCTTTGGTTCACTTTGGTTCACTTTGGTTCACTTTGGTTCACTTTGGTTCACTTTGGTTCCAGCAGTTTACTCCTTTGTGTGATTCCGCTTAAAACAAAAAGTATTTTAGTTCATCTAATTTGCACATTTCTGGTTACTCCAGTCCACGGCAGCTCTGTCTTTTTTTTTTTTTTTTAAATCCTAAAGATTGAAGTCTTCCACAAGGCTAATGCTAGCACACGCGTACATGTATCCCCGCTTACTTTGGAGTTGAACCAAATGGTCTCGGTCCCTGGGTAGTGACGGAACATCCCAAACTTGGCTGAGAGGATCTCTCGTAGCACCAACATGAAGAACTCCTGGCAAGGAGCAATGAAATGACGCGGACACAGACTGAGACAAGATTCAATCATGAGAAAGTGCCAAAACACCGAGAATGGATTTAAAGAGGAATTTACATTTGAAAGCTGACCAACCTCAGTTGGGTAGCATATTTTCAAATGGGCCGATCTTACTGTAACTTTGGAAGTGCCACGGGTGAAGACACATCTGCCCTTCGAAGGACATCAAATGTTTCCAATTAGATTTCTGACCTTTAACTACTCTCAGGATATGTTGCACAGACTTTAACAATTTGTAGTGACAAAACCACCTCAAGTGCCTAATTCCTCTAGTGCATAATTCGTCAAACACGCATAAACTTGAGCACCTATGCGTGGGTGAGTACCAAAGGACTGTCAATTTTATTTCAAAAGACGCCCTCTTTTGTTCATGCTCGGAGTGGATGGAGGAGTTTCTTCTGCCTCTCTTCTTACCTTTTGCACCCCTCCGGCGTCAACTCCCTCCTCCCCAACGAAGACCACTTTCAGCGGTTTCTTGACGTCCATGCTGCCGTGTCGGGACAGCTCTGTCAGCGTGCTCTGGACAATGTTGTTCCGGTTGATCGTCAGCACCAGATAAGGGTTAATGATGTCAAAGAACAATATCCGCTGCAGGTTGCGTCTCTGCACATCTTCTATGGCATTCTGGGACAGGGGGTGTGAGAGCCAAAAAATGCGAGAAGATTGAAAATGGACTTTTCAGACGTACTGAAATTATGCTGCCGACAGCCACTACGGACTCCTTTAGAGAACAGCTGAGTTTAGGCAATATCAAGGAAATCATTGGTAGTTTTATTCATAGTGGACCATTGTGACATAATATATCATGGGCGTCATTCTAAAGATGGGTGCTTTCATTCAAATCCTGTTTCCCGAACCCACTTTTTCACTTGCCTGTAAGCTAAGCACACCAAATTCTGTGCCAAGCAAAGCCGGTTACCAGCCAAAAAATCATGTAATTCAAGATGCCTATGATTGGTTCCCGGCAGAGGATTTTGCTCAGCTCAAAAAATCTGCTTAGCAGCTGAGATCTTTTTACCTGCATCTGCAGCATTGCATCTTCTTTAAGCAGCTGCGTCTTGGCGTTAGCGTCCAGGACAAATGGGTAATCGCAAAAGTTAACATCGGCACACTGAAAGCAGCAGGAAGAATAAAGAAAGCAAAAGAAAATTCAAGATTGACGTCTTTGGAGCAAGGATAATCAAAGCCAGATGCATGCAAAATCAAAGCCCCATGCGCAAAACGTAAACAAAACAGTCACTTAACTACCACTGGGAATGTACAGAGCTACATGTACACTAGGCCAAGTATTGATCAGCGACCGACTGTCAGCTGCAGATGGATATTTGCCTGATACCCAGGATACATTGCATGAATGGGTTACCAGGTAACGTCGACCAAGGAGTGACAATTAATCACTGAAAAGCTTGTCCCTTATTCAATCAGTGGGTGCATTCTCGTGTGAACCAAAGTGAACCAAAGTGACCCAAAGTGACTCTTGTTAACATGAGTAGGATGCATTTGCATTACACTTGGGTGCAGGAGTAAACTCCCCCACAGCGAGAGTGCCGGTATACCCTCGCTGACCCGAGGGCTGTACTCCAGCCGTTGGAGTGCTCAGGAGTATACTTGTATTAACACAAGTACGGTAGCTAGCTCGAACGTATGCAATGAGTCTTGATGCAATTTTTTCATCATGGTGAGAAAAACACCCCCTTTCTGTCTGACGATAGTCTGACGAGTGGCTATCATTTTTCTCCTGTCCCCAAACTGCCAGCCCCTCTGATTATCCCAAGGGTGATCGACACCCGATCCAAAATGCAGAAGCAAGACGAATGGCAGTGTCACTCTCTAGGATTTCAGATGCCAGTCACAGGGAGCTGTTGGGATGCGACAACTGACAAAGTTGGTAAACTGAGGATTCTCAGAGATGATCTGGTTTACTCAGAGGCAAGACTCATGAGCCACTAAGATCAGGTAAGTATAATAGACCAGAGCTCGGAGTTCTCACCTCGAGTCCACTTCGTCTTTGCAACCACTCCAGGAAATGGTCTCGAATGCCAACGTTGTCGGTGAGTTCTTTGATGTAGAAGAGGTAATATGGAAGAATTTCGTTGTTCTCGTTATTCATCTGCAGAAAAATAAAGAAAATAAGTTGTTATTCAGTAAAATCCCCAAGACATCAAGGCTGTATGTTCAGTAAAAACATCCAGAACATCACTATGGACACAGTCCACTTCAGGTACACTCCACATTCCCAAATACTGCTAGGCAGAGGATAGAAGCAACTAATTACAGTAAAGTGCCCTGCTCAGGGACACTAAGCAGTAAGCGCCCACCTTGCACAGCTTGCTCAGCACCTCCAGACAGATCTTGATGTTCCGGCGGAGCATGGGGCGGTCGGCGGCACTACGTTTCCGGCTGAGCTGTCCCATCATGCACTGCTTGTAGGTGGTGAGGATGCGGTTGAGGTGGCGTGGCTGTAACGTGGACCACCACTGGGCTGCAATCGGCAATGGAACCCAAAATGTGTTTCATTTCGGGGACAAGTTTGTGGGACTCTACGTCAAATTTCATGGCCTGGGTTTATATCTCACTTGTGTTGCTGTTTGGGTGCAAAGCATTATGGGAAGACAGGGGTAAAACCACCACCGCAGTCTTTGCTCTGTACTTATCAATCCCATGATGCCTTGCAAAATGTCAAATTTTACCGAAGTTGTTGGTAGCTGGAGTGCCTTGCATCACAACAGTCCTGTCTTTTCTGTCTAATCCCATTTAAGTCCATGCATATCCAAATTAACTGGCTGCGGCTGTGACTGACCCACACCTTTAAGGGAGATGTCACAGCCAATCACCATTGGCTTCCGTAGGCATACATGTCGCTGTCAGCCAATACTCAAGTGATTTGGATATGGCTAAGACTTATCAATCTCTACAAAGATAAACTACTTTTACTCTTTTTCTCTATCTGTGTATTTCATGCGCAAGTACCTTCCTTTATGTGGAAATGGCAAACACTGCTGTACAGCCATGGCTAAACTTGTGCACATTCAACTGAAAACTGGCCCTGTGCACTTTGTGAGAAGTGTGCCTGAAGTATATGTACATGAATGTGTATTGTGAGTCCTCCACCAACAAACATATTCAGCTCTTACTCCTCTGAGTGGTCAACCTTATTCGAGTTGGCATTTCTCTGATGGTTACCTAGGGACAATTGGAAGTTTTGCTTTGAGGAACAAAATAACGATTTCATATGAATTAGAAAATCATTTTTTGGGAGGCCAGAACTATCAACTCTGACCGGGAGTTCCCCCCTCCCCCCCGGGCAGGAGATACCCCGGTATGCTTATGGGATAGTTTTCAACCTGGCAAGTGCATATATGCCCAGCGTACTCTTGAATAGTGCAAACTCTGGCAGAAACTTGTCGTGCCTGCACAGCCTCTCCTACGCTAAGCATGTGCGATGCTGTGCAAGCCCGTAGTACATTCCAACCGAAGGGATATTGTTCTTAAGTAAAACACACAATATCTGGTTCCTCCAAGAAGTAAATATTTTTCCGAAGCCACAGTAAAATCTTGTGAGAAAAAAACTTGCCAACTTACAAATGACCTTCGACCCTGCACTGGTAATGTTGCACAGCGCCTCTCCAAACTGCACAACGACAGTCCCGTAGCGCTCCGGGGAAGGGTCGGTGAAAACGGGCGATTCCATTAGCAGCAGGTAGAGCCTGAGAGCTTCGATGTCTGGTGGGGATGGGGGTAAGCTTGGGATGAGATAGACACCGAGGATTTCCGCCATCTTTGTCGGGGAAGAAGACAAAATGGAAAGGCTATTGGCTGAGATGTAGATATCCAGGGAACAACGCAGAGTCAAAGTGAAGACAAGGGTGGATGTGAGGGGAGGGGGGGCATGGATGCCGTGGCCCCCCAAAACAGAGCCCCAAATTGTTTTTCATTTTGAAAAATAAGGCAATTTTTTGGTTTACGTGTATTTCATTGCCCTACCAAAAGCACGGAAAAAGCCCCAAAAATGTAGTCCCAATGCTCAGAAAGGCCATAAAAGGTTGATACATGTACATGACATAAACTGACATGAATTTGAAATTTATTTTTAAAAATTGAAATGGGCTCCCCCCAAAAAAATACGTTAAACAGATTTGTAACCCTTTTCATTGAGAAATTTAAATGTACACAAGTCATTCACTTCTATGCAGGAAATCCGATGTTCAAAATGTCTATGTGCACGTGTGAGGCCAAATGTTTTTTAAGACAGCAAAGTGTGAAGGGCAAATGTGATGATGATGACAGTCACCATGGTAACAAAACAACAATTACCAGCTGCATGTTTACCAAAATGAGTGTTGTCATGCATGACGAATCCACACGGCAACACAAGTTAGACATACAGTGAGGCATTGTATACATGTATGCATGTACATGTATGTATATGAGACTATAGACTGAATCCAGCGATTTTTTACAGGGCGTTCTAGGTGCCCCCTTGAAGGGTCCACGTAGTGCAACTGTTTTCACTTCTGCTCTTCAAAATGCACCTTCGTGTTCCAATTAACCTCATTTTTTTTTATGCTGATACAAACTTCCACAGTCATGAACAACACTGCAATGTCATGCCAGGAAGAAATACCCAAAATGTGGCCTGGATTTGTGCACAAAATCCGTGGAAAATTTTAACAAGCTGTTGCTCTGAATCCACATTTTTTCTTGTGATTCATTACTGTGTAAGTCCATGGCAATAAGCCAACGAGCTGGCCTTTTTTTGGAAATGTTTTCAACAAGCAAATTTCAGGTTCACAATTTCGACTGAAAAAGGAAAGGAATACAAACGGAACACAATCTTCCGCATTTGACATTAGCCACGTCACCCTCAGTGGTCTAGAAAAGAAATCAGAGCTATCTTAGTACTTCAGTCTCATGACATTGTGTGCCAGGGTATGAAGGGGTCAAAGCTCAGACACTGGGGCATCCCCTGATTGAGAAAGCAAGCTTGTGTAAGCGCAATACATGAAGGCCTCTAGGCACTGATGACGTCAATCTTTGTTTACATCCACGTGTTTCCAGTGAAGCCATTGGGGATATCCACACTCCACTATCACCACCACACGAAAACTGACACGTAAGCAATGACACCACCATTAAAAAGGCCTCTTACATTCACATGTGTGTATATTATTCTCAGTCTTTTTCATTTCCCATCCTTCAAAAGGAGGGAAAAAGTTTCAAAGTGACTGTGGCTTCAACCTGCAGAAAGGGTTATATAGGTTACCAGAAAAATACAACAAAACTTTAGGTCCTCCAAAACCTTGAAAAAAAGTTAGCCCCCACCCTATCCCACCCCACCCCAAAATGGTTTTGGATCTAGCCTTGTAAGTTTAGTGCCTGTGTGGAGTCAAAAGTGATGAAATCGAGGGAACCCTCCCCAAAGAAATGATGCAATACACAAAGTTTGTATGATCTCATGTCTATTTTGTACCTGGTAGCTCCTCCAGGCAGAATGTATAAATGGTCCAGACAGTCCTTCCATAGTCAGTTCTTTTTGAGAACACAACCACAGTTCAGGTGTTCTCAAAGCTTCTATCTTAATTTGACTTCCTGGACACGACGGTACGTGTACACTGTTTCAGGCACAAGATCTTAGGTGAGTCTCCAACTTGTATTTTAGACAAGGGCCCAATTTCGCGGCGCTGCTTATCACGAAAAGAAAACGCTCTGCTTACGCTGAACGTAGTTCACAGGTTAGCAAGGAATTTTGGCATGTGAGCATGTGTACATCCCATAACTACAAATTCTGTGCTTAAAGGGTTAACGCTGAAGTTTTCTGCTTGAGCAGTTAGCACAGAATGGAGACGTAAGCGTGGAATTCTGTGGTAAGCAATGCCATTAAATTAGGCCCAGTAGTTTCAGTTGAGGGTGCAAAATAAAAGAGGTCTAAAAAGACCTGAAAGGTCTGAGAGGTCTAAAAGAGGGCTTCTCATTTGTGTGTGTGAGTTTGTTTCTGCATTCAATTGGGGACCTTGAACAATAGAGGACAATAAGGTCCCTGATTGACAGAGGGTCCCCCGATTGACAGCTGTGT